TTTTTGAGACTGAGTCTTGCTCTGTCACCCAGGCTGGAGTGCAGTAGTGGCGCGATCTCAGCTCACTGCAACCTCCACCTCCTAGTTTCAAGTGATTTTACTGTCGTAAAGTATCTGGATAATTCCTGCCAGGTATATTACACTTTGAAACAAATTGAACAAGCAATCAGGAAACCCACATTAAACTCCCCTATTGACAGAAGTGGTGGCATGTTGAGTAAGATGTGTATGAAATTCTAGCAGATTCAAGTAATATACCCTAATTTGGAGGGATGAAAGTTGGAAGTATGGCCTGACCCTAAGAGATACCGCAGAGGCTAGGAGCCGTGGCTCAGGCCTGTAATCCCAGCACTTTGGGAGGCCAACGCGGGTGATGCCTGAGGTCAGGAGTTCAAGTCCAGTCTGACCAACATCGTGAATCCCTATCTCCACTAAAAATACAAAAAAAGTAGCCGGGTGTGTGGTGTGAGCCTGTAATACCAGCCACTCGGGAGGCTGAGGCAGGGGAATTGCTTGAACCAAGGAGGTGGAGGTTGCAGTGAACCAGGATCATGCCACCACACTCCAGCCTGGATGACAGACTGATTCTCCATCTCGAAAACAAAAAAGAGATACTGCACAATTATCCCCCAATAAGACTTGTGGATCTTACAGCTTAGTGATTCTATTCATTTTCCTCAACTTAAGGAGCAAATGATTCTCTTTGTATTTTAAATTTTCCATAACTAACGTGTAAAAAAATGCTTTCCAGTTCTTTATAAATCTGGCATGACTCAGATGTGAAAATCTCACAAAGCATGACAGAAATATCTGTGGCAGACTCACTTATAAAATCATAAATTATTATTGAATAGACTGTACATTCATGTAAAATGTAAAGCACATGAACAAATGGAAACATGATCTAAAATGCAGCATGATCTAACATTAGAATATATATTTTGAGAATTAATCACATTAATGATAAAAGAAAAAATATAATCTTGATGGAGTTTCAGTAACTATTTTACTGATTTTAAAATAAATATCTGGACTGGTCTCAGTGGCTCACACCTGTAATTCCAACATTTTGGGAGGCTGAGGCAGGTGGATCACCTGAGGTCAGGAGTTTGAGACTAGTATGGCCAACATGGCTAAACACTGTCTCTACTAAAGAATACAAAAGTTAGTGAGGTGTAATCCCTACGTGGGAGGCTGAGGCAGGTAGAAAGGGAGAATTTCTTGAACCTGGGAGGTGGAGGTCGCAGTGAGCTGAGATGGTGCCACTGCACTCTAGCCTGAGTGAGAGAATAAGACTCCATGTCAAAAATAAATAAATAAATAAATAAATAAATAAATTTCTGATAAACATATTTTAATGAAATAAGAATTAAAAGATCCTTCCTTTGTATTAACATAGATTAATAAAACTTCAAAATCTCCAATATACAGCCTCATACTTAACAGTAGAACAAAAATGATTCTTTCAATTTCATAAGTAAGGCAAAGATGTTTATTTTCACTACTGTAACATTGCTTAGAAATTTGAGCCAATAGAATTAATCAAGCATTTATTTTTATAAATGCAATACATGTAACAAAAGGAGGCAAAATATTATTTATTTATAGCATGATTCGCCACTTTGGAAATATTTAAAAATCAATTGAGAAACTATTATAAATTATAAGAATTACGTAAGATGGTCAGTTACAAATGAAAGATACACATTAACATATATCAATAATCATAATTTAGAAAATATATTAGGAAAATTACCTAGTTTATAAGCATAACCAAAGATACAAAAAGATATAGGCCTAAAATTAGAAATTATTGTCTACGACTTATGCAAATAAAAATAGAAAATTTTATTTAATAACATAAAATGGATGTTAATAAAATTTAAAATACATTTTATTTTGCCCTAGGAAATTTCACTATTTTAATAAATTTAATTGTCTTTAAATTTACTTTTATGACATATTCCTATCAAAATTGCCAGTGATTTCCTCTATGTTTTTGTGGCTTGATAGCTCATTTCTTTTAAGCACCGAATAATATTTCATTATATGGCTATATCACAGTTTATGTATCCACCTACTGAAGGTCTTAATTTTAATAAAATTCAACCTATAAATTCTTTTTTTCATAGATTGTATGTAATATGTTGAACCTAAAATGACATCATCCAAACCGAGGCCATCTAAATTTTCTCATACATTATTTTCTAAGTGTTTTATAATTTTGCGTTTTACATTTAGTTCTATGATCCATGTTAGGTTAATTTTGGAAAAGTTGTAAGCACTGTATATTTTCTTAAAACTAATTTGTATTTTTATAATATATATCTCGTGGAATTCCTTGTATTGGTCTTGCTATTTTGTACAATCTGAAAATTGCTTCTATTTAATTGGAGCTATTAATCTTCTTATATTTAATATACTGGGTATATATCCAAAGGATTACAAATCGTTCTACTATAAGGACACGTGCACACAAATGTTCATTGCAGCACTGTTTACAATAGCAAAGACCTGGAACCAACCCAAATGCCCATCGACGATAGACTGGACAGGGAAAATGTGGCACATATACACCATGGAATATTATGCAGC